ATGTAAAGGTTCCCCCAAAGTAATTCCCTGCAGACCAGTGGTGGCTGGTGGAAGATATATAAGGTGGAGCTGTGGAAGATATTGACCTAACAATACAAGTTTTTTTTTTACTTATTGTGTTATTAATAACGTGTGCATACTTAACCATTTCCAATTGTTATCCTCACTTTACTGCACTATTTGCTGTCATAATGTAAATGTGCTCGATGCGGGACATATGAAGGATTTCTGATTCTGTGTATTATCATACAGAAACAGTTGCTGTAATCAGCTGTGTGAGTAGTGTGGCATCACTCCATAATCTTCAGTGGGGTTAGCTATGAATCAAACCCCTTGTCCTGGACATAGTTTATGCATAGTAACATTGTTGATGACTGACCTGTTTCTAAGCAATGGAGAGGCCGTCTTGTTTTTGTCTGAGCTGAGCAGTTTGGTCTCATCTCGTTCATCTCTGCTTCTTTGAACTGCAGCTCTGACTGCAAAGACTGAACCTGAAAGAGAACATGTCATTATCATGTTATTCTGAGAGCATATGTGTCATTTACATGTGAGTGTGTTTCAGCTCCTTACCTTCTTATTGAGCTCCTTCTCCCTGTTCTCATGCTCTTTCTGTTTCTGGGCCTCCAGCAGGACCTGGTTCTGCCTCTGGGTCTCCTTCTCCTGCTGAGCCCCTCCAAGAGAGTCCCGCAGGACCCGGATCTCCCCGCTCTTCAACATAATCTCCTCCTCCACCTCCTTCAGCTAATAACATACAAAATCAACAGGACCAGAGATTGTTCTCAGCTGCTACAAGAACATTTCTATATTTGATATGTGGGCATCAACCAGCACCATTTGTATTGTCCAGACTGCTATGTGTCTGTAACACCGACAATCAAACATTGTCAAGTAATAAAAGCTGAACACATACATCTGATTATATTCAGAAGCTTTCATGTCCATCAATTAAATACTTATATAGACTGGCTTTGTTTTTCAGATGAAGTATGTCTTGTTTAAAACAAGTGGCATAGTCTGTATCAAAATGGTTTATTAGCATGCAAAGCAATATTAAAAAGGGAACATCCTGTTTTTAGAATAAATGTACTTAAGTAAATTAAGTATGGTCTTAGTGATATAAAACCACTGCAAGTTATTCTTATTTTACATTAGTTTTGCTCTCGTTATACTTTGTATTGCAACTGTTTTAAACACCCTGCTTAACAACAAATATCAGGGTCCCAGAAAATGTTATAAATGCTTAAATCTCATGGGTAAATGCAATATTAAATCTATTTGTATGTTTGCTTTATTAATTGAGAAATCAGTGTGTCTCACCTTTCCTCTTTAGCTCTGCATGCTGAGCCTCCAGCAGACTGCTGGACTCTGCGCTCTCTGAGCCAAACCGCTGCAGCCTGTTCCCTGAATGCACAAAAACAATAATGCTGAAATGAGAACAAGGTCCCAGCTGAAAGCATCAACGTTTTCTCAGCACACATCAACTGACCATGCACTCATTCCTTTTTTTAATTGAGCAAGCTATTTTCCCTGCAACTATGGATTCATTGTACTCACTCATTTTTGTTTAAGGATCATTTATTTTACCTCAAATATATAAGTCTACACCTTTATTCAAGTACGAATCCACAGCTGTTCTCTTTTTCACATCTAAACATCCCTTAACACCGGTGCAACAGACTTTGTGGTCAAGTATGTTGTTTGGAAAGGGTTTCTCCAACCAAGTTCAGGGGCCTCATTTATAAAGCCTTGCATAGGATTGACGTGGGAAGATTGCTTACGTAGGACAAAGCAAATAAATACGCAGACATTTTCCGATTCATAAAACACTGCGAACCGGCGTAGAACTTGCGTACAGCACATCCTACGCCGGTTTCCCTTTATAAATCACAATCAACTCGAAATGCGCGCAGTTTTTGCGGGCTTCACGTAACGCCCATATTTGCCTATAAATAGTCAAAGAAACGCCCATTCATTCATTCATTCTGACTGACTGCATGAAGAAGATCGCAGGAAATGACGACAGAACAGCTAAAAAAGACATCTCACACCGTGTCAGATTTGGTTATTTGGGGAGGTCGAGATAAATCATATTGTTTGGTGGATGCCGTTTGAACCAGAGTAGCAGCATGGAGGTCGGATCGTCACCAAAATAAATAAATGGTCCGAAAAAGGTTCATGACAAAAACAATACACATAGCCTTCCTCAGGCAGTGTGTTTGTACCGGGGACAGGAGACCCCCCCCTTGATGAGAGACTGTAAGAAGTGATCGGGGAATCCCTCCGGAGTGGAGTCATGACGACTGGATCTGAATTATTGTTTTCTATTTGGTGGTTTGTGTTCCAGCTGTCGATCAGCTGTGCGCAGCGTCTCAACCCTATGGTCTCAACCCCCCCTCCCGCAGCAACCCTATATCCACCAGTTGAAGGAAATACAACTAATGTGTTGTGTTATATTAGCTGTACAATTTACCACATGGTGTTCTTAGTTTCCATACCTCCTGTGTTTTACGAGCGACTTATCAAGTAGGCTATTGACGGCATAAAACACGATTAAACGTGATAGTAAAACCAGGCTCGTATACAACCTATAGAAAAGCAAAACGGCGTCAGTTTAAAGTAATTCTGTCCTCCTGTTTACCGCATCATTTATGAGAATACATTTCTTAACAAGAGAACATAATCGAGGGGTGATCAATAACATATCCGTATTTATTTATTTCTCCAAGTTAAGTGTTTGTGTGCACTGAGGAGTCGCAAACAGGCGTTTGTTAAATCATTTTGAGATTGGCTTTAATCCATTTGTGAAAATTAATTCATCATATGATAAATGAGAGGTAACATTTGATTGGAACAACATTCTTCTTCCTTCTGCCACGGTGTCGCAGTTTCTCGTCTCTCCGTTGTTGTGCTTAGTGCGTACGCATGGGTTAGAGTTTGCGTGGAGGACCGCACGTTTTCCCGTCAAGTTTGTTTTTTATAAATCGCAAACATTGCGTAGAACTGGCGTACGCCATCTTTTGAGCGTACGCACCGTTTATAAATGAAGCCCCAGACCTTTGGTTCTTTCTCTTTTTAAAAATTAATTCTAGAAAAGTGTTTCTGAATTACGAAATCTATCATTATATAAAAATCTTACAGCATTTGGGATGTAAGTTGCTCAATATACCTTCAAAAAGAAACAAAACAGTTATCAGCAGGTATTGAAATATGTGTGTTTCAGAGCCAAATTGGAGTCACATACACAGGAGCAAATGGCACCAATGTTCTTTTCTTAGTGTAATAAATTAGAAATCTAACAGGATCTAGGAGATTAAATTCACACGTTGACACTCAACACCCAGACAGACACATTTGGGTGCGTTTTCAAATGATTTAAATCACTGTCCTGGCGGATTTGATGCCAGCAGAGGAATACATAAATAATATTCTCTTTAGCAACAAAAACATTCAGCAAGAATTTAACAGACAAATGAAGGTGCAGTAAAACCTTCAGTGATCAGTTGTGCTCTAAACTCACCGATAGGGTCTCTGCTTTGTATCCCAGAATTCCCTTTGTTGCTGCTGCCGAACCAAATGTGTTCTCTCTGCTCTGATTGGTTGTGGCTCTGCCCACAGTTCTGCTCTGCCCTGCAGACCCCCGCGTGCCAGCTCCGTCGGTTTAGTTCCTGCTGTAGACCCAGGTCCAGGTGCCGGGGCCGAGGTGATGGCCTGCGAGGCGAGGATGTCAATCTCATTCAAGTCGTCCTGGGTGAAGCATTCGTCATCTCCAAACGGGTCATCAAAGTCCATCGTTGTCACTCGATCCCGGCCTCGGAGGCGCTTGGTGGGGGGACAGTTCATGCTTTGGTGGAGGCAAAGGGAAGGAGAAAGTAATCAACAGCAAACAACTGTGTAGCATCACGGCTAGTATTTATCAAGCGTCAGAGCAGGAAGTCAGTTCTAGCAAGCTCAGAATTCACTGAGGGATGCAACTTCATGAAGTGCAGCCCCTAAACTCAAAAGTGGAACCAGAACCGCTTGAATCTGATCAACTTTGGGAAATGATGTACAAAGTTACTCAAGTCTAATTGTGTCACAACGGTAACAATACATTTGCTTGTATTGATAGGATTAAGAATAAGTGTCATTCATTATTGTCCAAAAATGTTATGACTGACCCTCCCAATTTATTTCAGAGCTGCAGAAATGTTTTGCATCGTTAAACGTTAAAGAGCCCAGGGATCTCTTAAACCAAAGGCAATTCAAGTTATTCATTTAGTTGCTTGCACAAATGGGTGGACAACATGGGTTATCCATTATGTGCAAGTATCAAGCCTCTGCATGTTTTAATTGAAGTTAACTTAAACCAGAAGCTAAAAGGTGGAAGTAAGGAAACCCATCTTAACATTGATGAGGAGTTTAGTGCTCATCAGGAATGACTACATTTTTATATTTTAGTTTGAAGGGTTACAGCAGCGATATGGTTCAGGTTTGCAAAGACCAAACTGACTGCGGTTTTCTAACTAAACTTAGACTTTTTAACATGCCATGAATAAGTTAAGTGTTTTGTGTTTATGTGTCTTACGTTATTTCCGTTGTGTCTCCTGTTGGTGCTGCTGTCGCTCCTGTTAGCCGTTAGCTAAAAAGTGAACGCTGAATGACTAGCATTAGCTGTGATTCCAAAAGAAAGTTTACCTGCCAAGCTAACACAGCTCTCTCCGTTACATTATTATTTAAATGTCAGTTAACACTTCATAAAAAGGACGTCGGAGGTGTTGCTTCAAACGTTGCCTCAGCACCAAATCAAAAGGTGAACTTGGTTAAACGATAGCCAGCAGCTAAACAACATGAAGATAAAAGTGTGTTGTTCCGTCCGCTCCGGTGCCGCTGACAATCTGACCAATCAGAGAGCGGCTCTGATAGTCCTACCAATCACAGGCGACCATGCGCTGACCTGGTTGCTGTACAGGTCCCTGTTGGAGACAAACCATACTAAACGTGCAATAGAGAAGAAACGAGCCAAGTCGTTTAGATGAGAGGAGAGTTCGGTGTGGAATTTGTACGGCTTTAATAACAAATATGACTTAAAGACTCAATATATTTGTTTCCCTGCAAGAAAGGGATTCAACAGGATTCCCAAATGAAATGATTGTGACACTGACACTGTGTAACGCATACAAGAGCATTGTCCGTAGAGTGATTTCAGGATTTTATCAGGTTTTGGTACTGAGCAGATTAATCTCTTTTTGTGTATGAGAACATCCAACCAAGGAATGTAGTTGTCACCAGGTATACAAACACATTTAACAATACAAAAAACAACAACCTTGAATACAACAACCTAGACATATGACAAGGACAAACGGTACTAATCTAAGCCAATTTAAAATGTAAAATAATGCAGAAAATACTGCATGCATAAAGTGCTTGGGTGCCGAAAACACATCTGCAAATTGAGGCTAGTAACATCCCTTCAACAAAAGAGACTTGGTATCTCTTTTGTAGGATCTAAAACTCCCTCTGCAGGGGTTGATCAGGACAGACCAATAACAATGGGGCATCCCTTAAGGACCATAGCCTTGTGCTATATTTAGGCACTCTGACGCAGGAAAACACCCTGGCAGTTATGTTATTAAAGCTCTATTAGCATTGATCAACAAAAAAGGAAATAGTACAGAGAGGACTATAGCCTTCTCTAAAACACTAGCAGGGACATTGCTGAAGATAGGATATGAACAGAAACACATTCTTAAAAATCAGAATATCAGCCTTTATTCTGAAAAAGTTTGAAAAGTGGATTTTTATATAAAACCCAACACAAAGATACTACTAGAATTAGAAGGGATAACGTGTACCAAATGTGATATACTTCACTGACACACACACGTTTGATTTTTCTGTATTAACAACATGAAAAGCAATATTATAAACAAATATAATATATATATTCTTGTATTACTCTCTTATCTTATGATAAACCATTGGCTACAAGTGGAAGGTTATCTTATCTTATCACAAAAGACTGGAAAGGGGGAAATACCTTTCAAACTGAGTCAAGAAATACAAATATAATATAAATATTGCTCATAAATATGTATTAATATGAAATAAAATATGCAATTCTCACAATATTTCAGTTTTTAAAATGAAAGAGATATATTGACAAGGAATGTGCAAAAGTATGAGGTTCAGGGAATATGGGAAATGTACAGAGCAAAGCTTACTCACAAAAAATGAAAGCAAGTTTAGTAATTATCACGTTATATGTTGTTTAATCCGTGCAGAAAACACATTGTAATAATAGCATGTTGTTGTTTTACAGGGGTTTAATGTCCGTGGACTATTTTTTGGTCAGGTGCGGCACCTTCTTGGGGTCTCTGCTGGTTGCCTGGCAACCTCCTCCAACCTCCAAAACTCCTATATCCTCCTTTTTCCTAGCGTATTTTGTGTTTACTCCATAGCATCATTTGAACATAGCCTACTTCATAGCCACGAGCCCCATGTAATCGTTGAATGTTAAGAAGTGAGGGGATCATTTCCAGTAAAATTGACCATGCCTTTATTTTTATAAAAAGATAGAGAAGAACATTTATTTGTTATCATCTTATATCATCTGTCATGTAATCTGTTTTTATCCATGTGTAATTTCAATGGCTGATAGATGTTAATATGAATCTCTTTATGTTCTCTTCTCATAGAAGCGTCCTGTGGATTCTCAGTGACAGCAAGACTGCTTTCCATTTTTAGACACATACAGGTCTGTGTGTTGCAGCTGAGGCTCATACAGGTGTGTGTGCGTGTGCGTGTGTGTGTGTGTGTGTGTGTGTGTGTGTGTGTGTGTGTGTGTGTGTGTGTGTGTGTGTGTGTGTGTGTGTGTGTGTGTGTAACACTGACACATGCTCACTTTCTCTCCGCCTCCGTACTTCAGAACAGAAATGGCAGAGCTCAGCGACAGGCATCCAGATGCACCCATCATCATCAGCAGCAGCATAAGACACATCACGAACATCTGCAGCACCACAGTATCACCACTGTCCCTCACAGTGGCAGGTCTGCTCTGCACGTCTTAGATAAGATAATTAATTGAATGAGCAACACAAACATATTTGGCAGGCAAGTTGGTTGCCATAACGACCAAACAGTCAAAGCAGGGTCACTGAGTGAATCAGAGGAAATGAAGCCTACATGCAGTACATGTGTTACTGCAGAGCATTGAGCGGCTGTAAAACTCTCATGGCTCTGACTGTCCTCTGCTGCAGTGTCCTCTCAGGAGGCCCTGTAGCAGGACTCGGACCGCTGTCCAATCAGAGTGTGCGCTGTGTTCACACTGAGGTGGGCAGGATGTCCCCTGTGATGTGATACTCACAGACAGATATGAACCGTTCTGCATTAGAAGTCACCAAGTACAAACACAGTAAGGTGAAGAGGAGAGTTTAAACTCCCTATTTGTGAACCGAGTACTCTCAATTACGGTGGCCCTGAAGTGCAAGACACCACAGCATTTCACAAAACGCCACAGCATTTCACAAAACACAACAGCATTTCACAAAATGCCACAGCATTTCAGAAAACACAACAGCATTTCAGAAAAACACCACAGCATTTCACATTGGACGGAAAGGGTATTCCTTTAGGGAGAACACTTCTTGTTTGTGATTGGACAGAGCCAGCCATAGGAGCACTGCTGTGATTGGTTGTTTTTGCTGCCAGTCAAGAAATGACGCTTCGTGATTGGCCCAACACATCAGCCGTTAGCTGTTAGCACTCACTCAGAGCTCACAGCTCCTCATATCTGTTCAGAAACTGGACAAAAGTTCAACATATACAAAACACAGACTTTCTATGTCATGGTGAATACAGTCGCTGCTTTATTTATGTCTGTATGACGTTGTTGTGAGTGTAGACGGAGCAGCTACAGGTTAGTTTAGCCTGATCGATCCGATTCCGATAGGATTTACATGGGAGATACCAACTACAACAAAATGAACATATTTGACCATGATTTCGTTGTATTAAACGTTTCAAAGTGATGCCGAAGTAACTACATACTGATAACGGTTAGTAAAAACCATGAATTAACGCTTTGACAAGTCTGCAGATAAGACGGCAGGCGAAAAGCTTTTAAAATGCGTGGTTTCTGAATGGAATCGGATCCATCAGGCTAAACTAACCTGTAGCTGCTCCGTCCACACTCACAACAACGTCATACAGACATAAATAAAGCAGCGACTGTATTCGCCATGACATAGACAGTCTGTGGTTTGTACATGTTTAACTTTTGTCCAGTTTCTGAACAGATATGAGGAGCTGTGAGCTCTGAGTGTGTGCTAACGGCTGATGTGTTGGGACATATTTCGCTGTCGGGTGTTGACCAATCACGAAGCGTCATTTCTTGACTGGCAGCAAAAACAACCAATCACAGCAGTGCTTCTCTGGCTGGCTCTGTCCAATCACAAACAAGAAGTGTTCTCCCTAAAGGAATACCCTTTCCGTCCAATGTGAAATGCTGTGGCGTTTTCTGAAATGCTGTGGTGTTTTGTGAAATGCTGGGGAGTTTTCTGAAATGCTGGGGAGTTTTCTGAAATGCTATGGCGTTTTGTGAAATGCTGTGGTGTTTTGTGAAATGCTGTGGTGTTTTGTGAAATGCTGTGGTGTTTTGTGAAATGCTGGGGAGTTTTCTGAAATGCTGTTGTGTTTTGTGAAATGCTGTTGTGTTTTGTGAAATGCTGTTGTGTTTTGTGAAATGCTGTTGTGTTTTGTGAAATGCTGTGGTGTTTTGTGAAATGCTGTGGTGTTTTGTGAAATGCTGTGGTGTTTTGTGAAATGCTGGGGAGTTTTCTGAAATGCTGTTGTGTTTTCTG